CAAGGGAAGAAATCTTAAGGGAGTGAGGCTTAGGAGAGCAAGGGAGAAGATATCTTGAGCTACCACAAAGGAGGAGAGAATAGCTATAGAGTTAGAGAGGAGGAGAGCATCTTGAGGCCTTGTATCAAGGTGTCGCTTGAGAGGGAGGACATCGAAGGAAGATGAGGGCTCATCTCTATGTATAAGCTATGTATTCTCCATTTCTTTTGCCTTAGTGAAATATTTGATTGATTCCCTCCCGTGGACGTAGATCCAGTTGGATCGAACCACGTAAACGATCTGTGTTTGCTTGTGTTCTTTTTCGTCTCATTTCTATGCCAGGAAGTACATATCTCACAACAAAATTAAATAGGAAAAATTGTTTTCCTGCATTTAGTTTACAAACAATTAAATACACTTTATAAATAATAAAAAAAGTGTTATATTGCCTTCTCAAAATAAATTAAAATTTGAATACTTTATAACCAAAAATTCACATTGATTTCTGTAAGTTCAATATAATGAGATGTAGATGATAGATTTGTTTAATTATAATTATTATTACTTAGAAATTAATGTTATTTATTTAATGTAATTATACTTAATTGATATAATGTCAACTAACATGTTCAATGATCATTACCATCTCTTCTTTTATTTCTTTCCATAACAGTTTGAATGATTTAACATCTTGATCACATTGTTAAATTTAATCAACATATAAATAATGTCATCAAAATATGATTTAAATATCACTTATTATATTATTAGTTAAATTTAAAACAAATTACTAACATCTGCTAATAACATAACCATACATAGCATGCATATGAAAACCATCCAAATTATCCCTTAATATGTAGCAAATATCACTTTTAACTATCTTGACTTCTAGTTAGAATAAGGAAGTTCAATTAATAAGTTTATAATATAAATACACAATGACAACACAGTATTTGATCTTTGCGTGTGCGGACTCGCGTGTGTGCCCGTCAGTACTATTCGGCTTTCAGCCAGGAGAAGCCTTCATCATTCGTAGCATTGCCAATATAATACCTCCATATGATAAGGTATTAATGCTTTATTGATTATTGGGTTCAACCCATGATTAGATCATCCACCCTTAATCATATTTTATATTATCATGATATTACGTGATCTCATAACTCATTTTTGTTACTTCCATCCCTCCTTCAGATAAGATACTCAGGCACTGGCGCTGCAATCGAATTTCCCGTTGTCTATCTCAAGGTATATATTATTTCCTAAACATGAATTAGTATTATTTTATTTTTATCGGTCTAGAATATTTAAGTGTATATCTTTCAACCATTTGTCATTGTGATATGCATCGAGTTGATTAGTACAATAAATTGCATGTAGTTGAAAATACATATTATGTTGTTGTACTATTGATTGTTAATAGAGCTAGCAAATTTCTGTAATAGGTCAAAATTAGATTTTTATTGGGAATTAATTTTCCCTCTCACATATGATTCTATAATAACCCATTGCCGTTTTTTTTTTCAAATTCTTATTTCTTTTGACGGTTTTATCTGGGTTTACAGTAAAGTATTTGAGGCTATAAGTTACAAGTATCCACGAGTATGCTTTTATGATTATGGTAACAAGGGTGTTTAAAATATAGTGATTGGAATTTATTCAAATTTTTTGACAAAGGAAAAATAAAACTAGTTTGTGGATAAAATAAATAAATAAATAGTAATAAAAGAAAGATTGCTCCAATTGTATTTTTTTTTAATTCTAAATATCTAATTATTGAGTGGATAAATTTATGACAGGTGAAGAATATCGTCGTTATCGGTCACAGTCGTTGTGGAGGTATTAGGGCATTGCTCTCTGCTAAGGATGATGGCACACTTAGCACGTAAGGGTTTTTCTCTTTGATAATGAATGATAAATTAGAATAATTTTTTTTTTATCTATAGCTTCATCATGAAAATCCAATTTATTATGGAAGCATTATCAACATTAGTGTTATTTTTTTCGAGGGTGGAGATTATTGATTATAATTGACACAAGTTCTATGGTACTAGGTGTGATGAATAAGATTTTAACTGTGCTAAATTGGATGCCAAGTCATCTTTAGCTAGATTCAATGTGTCTGAATTGATTATTATGTTAAATAAGCTTGATTAGAGTCACGTATTGAGTCATAAATTGTTTAAAAAGTGAAAACTTGGTTTATAATAGTGATTTAATGACGCCCAACATTTTTGTAATGGCATTATATATGTGTCCTCATGTTTTTATTGGCAACAAATAATAATCAATGTCAGCAATCATCAATTGAACGCTTTAAATTTGAAATTATATTACACCTTTAATTATCTTCTAAAACAGAGAAAAACCACAATCACAAGCAAAGATTATAATTTAAACTATATACTCAAAAATGGTTTGCATGGATCTTAAGGCAATCCAGCTATCGGCCACCTCACTTCAGTCGATCGGTCAAGTTCTCTTCCTCGACAAGCCCATTTCCGTCGGCCGACCAACTTTCCTCTTCGGCGAGCCGGAATCAGACAAGGGACTTTTCCACCCAACGGAGGATTCCGTGGAGGACTTTTTAGTAATCGGTCACATCAATTCAAAAAACTAAAATATCTTGTATCACCATTTAAAGTTAATGGTAATATTGTAATTTACCTTTTAGTCATTCTATCATCTATAAATAGGAGGGTCCTTTCATTTAAAAGGGGTTTTTCGCTCCCCCTACTTATAACATCATGCTTTGTGGAACAAAAGGGGTCGCCGAGCCTAGGGACCATCCCAATTCGCCCTAGAGGGGGCAATTCTCTCTCCTTCTCTCTCAAATACTTCTTCTCTCGGAATTACACTCTATTCATTGGGTATGGTTTATTGAACAGATTTGGATTCAACATTTTTTGAGGTATGGTGAGCGTGGATCATGCTGGCAACAAGAAGATGAGCAACACCAAACAAAACTATGTAGAGAAACACTCCTAGCAAAAAAACACAAGGGGAACTTGCACTACGATAGATTTACTCCATTTACTCCTCACCATCGGCAATCACTAGAAGACTGTATTTTTCCCTTTTTCCAAAACAGCAGAAGAAAAGTCTCCCAACGAGCTCCTACCACATTAAAATCTCGTACAAGTTCTCATCGCCTTCCACACTTTAATCCAGCTATGCTTTCCACAACTTTAGCCTCCTCTTACAGCACCCGCCATTAATCCCCTGCACCTATAAAAAGAACTTCATCACCAACACTCCTTCGAACGACTCCTCGCCATCAACCTAGCTAAAACAACGATGGAATTCCCATTACTCCCACCTGTCTCCGTCTGACCTTTTTTGTAGCCCGCACCGGCCGTCCAACTTGCCCAGCTGCCACATCACCTGTCAGGTTCCATTTCAGCTACCGCCCTTGGTATTTTCAGCCGGTTGGTAGCCACCATGATACACTGCTGTTGATTTTTCAACTCGCCATTTCATCGCTCACTAAATCCATGGTCTCAAAGTGTAAAACATAGCTCCAATCCTCACCTAATTATTGTCAACTCGTAGCCCCCAAATCTCTATTGCTAACTGTTTTTAATACTGTCTAAGCGACATGGAACCCGAGTCAATCCCTTTACTCCGTCTGGGCTCTCTAACCCGAGTTATTAATTTTAATTCTCTCCCAAAATCCAATCTGCAAACAAGACCTTTGGCCACAAAGTCCTCCGCTTTTCTTGAGGTTTGATCACATGGTTTTGTGTTGATGATTCCAAGGGCTCGGATAAGTCAAAGAGAGAAATATTTTCGAGATTTTCTTCTTTGTTCTTATGATTTTCAGCGGACAAGTCTACTGCAAATTTCTCTTTCTTCTAGGGAGACGCATTGTTATTTGCAAGCACTAGTTTCCTAGTATAGTGCCAGCTTCAACAAGAACTTCAGTCCAACGTCCATGGCTATGCCATGTGACATGTGGTGATGGCTTGATCTCGAGCACTAGATGGTGGTGTAGCCCCGAGACACTTGGCACCGAAGCCAACTCCATGTTTCTGCCCAACCATGGGCTGCGAGACACTGTCCCGATTGGAACTGGATTCAGTTTCTCCAACCCCCGCTGAAGCGGGTTCTGAAGTAGATGTTTCATCACCAGCGAGCGTAATGTGGTGGCAAAAGTGTTTGGACTACCTCAACATCATAATTCTCTAAGAAGTAGTGAATATGATTATCTGCACAGGACCACAACACCTCCGAATGATGCTCAGATTTGATAAAATCCAACAAATGGGCAAAATTTAAGCCCAACTCACTAGATGACATCCTCCATGACGATGAGAACCAGAACGCCACTCTCCTGACACAACTTGATGTACAACATCCAGAAAACTCCACGTTGAACAAACCAACATACTATCCCAACGGTTTGAATTTCCGTTGAACACGATGAATCTTCGTCGCTTCCTCATTGCGCACATGTGTGGACTTGCATCTGCAAGTCTTCGATCGTAGCGGTGTTTACAGCTCGGATCCCCTTTTTAGCAACTCTAAGTCGCAGATGAACGATTGCAAGGTGGGATACATCCAAGGTCCGTTGTTGCCTGATGACACGTTTTCCCATCTTCACACTAAAATGATGAGCAAGCAGTACTTCTTGGTCCAAAGGTGCCCGTGCCTTTAGATAATCATAGAAGCTGACAATTTTAAGTAGAGTGAAAAATTTCACTTCATGAGACTGCAATAAACAATCCTCTAATCACATCAGTAGTCCAAGACTGTTCTGAGGATCCATGGCTAGCGAGAGCGGTTGAACAATTCTTCTTGTTCCTCCCTAAGATTGCCTCCAACAAGTAGATCCTTGCAAAGGATCACAAATAGAGGATTCTTCCCATGCCCAAATTCCATAGTCCAGAAAGGAAGTTGATCTTATATTATCAAAATGTATGTCGAACTGTTGATAGACAGAAAAACTTGAGAAAATTATTTTCCCCTTAGCCCGACAAAAAGACTACATCTTGCTTCTTCCAAGAGGGTTATACCTTCATGTCGTTTGGTCACCTCAAATGACTGACCAACCACCTCCCTCCACCCTGCCACTTTGTCGCTCCATGCGGCCGCTCCCCTTCGACTGATTACTTTGCTCCATCCTGAGACCGTGGAAGAAGAGGGAAGATTTACATACATTAAACCCAATTCCTATATATTTTTTATATTTTCATACATACCACCAATTTTTATAGATCACCCAATTTTTGTGTTCTTCTTTTTAACTAGAGTCACGACGTTTCACCGACTAGGCTTCCCTGCTCTAGCCGACCCTCCATTTGTCGGCGCTCTCAAAAATAAGAATATTAATAATAATAAATGAATATGCATATACACATCACTCACTTTTTATTTCTTATTTCAAATATATAAATATATGAACTTATATAAAGTGAACGGTATAAATCAATGTACTGTTAGAGATCCCAAGTGAGACTTTCTCATTTTTATTATTCTAAAGCAAGCAATAATTATTCTTTGCATTATAAATTTTAGAATATTTTTTTTTATTCTTCGCCATCTATAAGAAGCATAGGTACAAAGAATCCTCCCTACGGTCCTTAAGATCAAGATTGGATGAGCTCGGGAAATTCATGCATTACGCCTATCAATTAGTCTTAGCTGGGGAACTTCACTAAAGTTTTTTCTTTAATGATTTTTTAGTTGTCTTTTCTGATGTACAAGAGGACATACTCATCTATTTTCCCCTACACTTATTAGAAGGATTTATGCTAAATTCACTCGTTTATTTGTGGTAAATCTTTGGAAATCAAAGTTGCATCTGTTTAGGTGGTAAAATCGACAATGACACCAAGAACATCTGATTGGTTGAAGACATAAGTGTCACCGACAACGACAACATAATTGTCTGATCAGTAATAAAGGCCTTTGAGACGTATCGACACCCGACAACGACAAACTCCACAAGTGGCACATAAATAATCATTATGTGCCCAAATTATAAAATTAACATCTGACAGTGACAAGCTCTGCGAAAGGTGTCTAACAATCGTCAGAGGCCTATGAGACGTACCTGACAACGACAATCTCCGTGATGGGTGTGCAAACGATCATCCTACTTCCAAATTATAAAGTTAAAACTCGACAGCGACAAACTCCGTGAAGCGTGCATAATTCTAAGACTTCCCTCCGGGGCGAGCAATTACAAGACTCCCCTTCAAGGCGAGCAACTATAAAATCCCCCCTCAAGGCGAGCAACTTTGGGACTCCTATAGGTGATGGCAAAAGTGTTAGAACCAAGCATGAAAAGCGCCTAATAGGAGTATCATTAGCATATTTCATATTCAATACTTGTTTAATTTATAAATTTTCTTGTTTTTATTGTAGTTATCACTTTCAAATAGCAAGAAAATTGGAGAATTTAATATATATAACCAAAAATGGTCTGCATAGATCTCGAGACAATCCAGCAGTCGACCACCTCATTTTAGTCGACCGACAAAGTTCTCTCCCTCGGCCAGCCCATTTAGACGAGAAACTTTTCCTAGCAATCGGTCACATCAATTCAAAAGGCTAAAATATCCCGTATCACCCTTTAAAAGCAATTGTAACATTGTAATTTATTTTTTAACATTTATATCATTTATAGATAGGAGGATCCCTTCATGTAAAAAAGACTTTTAGCTCCCCCCACTTGTAACATCATGCTTGTGGAATTAAAGGGGCTGCTGAGCCTAGGGACCACCCCAATTCACCCCTGAGGGGGCAAGTTTTCTCTCTCATTTTCCCTCAAGTTCTTCTTCTCTCAATCTTACGCTCTATTCCTCGGGTAGTGTCTAGTGGATAGATTTTGATTCAACATAAACATATGAAAAATAGCTTCTATAATTGCTAGTATTCTGAAATTGATGTAGATATTATTATATCCCTGTTATTCATTCTATTTTATAGAGCTAAAGAGTCATTTAAAATATAAAGATTTATGTACATTTCACTCAAATCTTATGTTCACATTGACATATCTAACAACTAAACTTAAATTTTTACATAGATGCCTTGAAAAGGTGTCTTTTACCTTTTTTTAAGTCAAATCGATGTATTTCTTATGCTATATAAAAGATTTGGGTGGTATAAATGTAAAAAAATAAAATTTAGTTGTTATATAAGTACATAGAAATTGGCAAGTCTTTTTTAATTCGTTTTCGGTTTCTCCTTCCATACATTGCTCATGATCTCTTTCTTATTACTTTTTATCTGCTTTTGTAGTGACTTCATTGAGGACTGGGTGAAAACAGCCTATCCAGCAAAAGAAATAATAAAAAAAGCTCATTCTGATCTGTCCTTCGAAGAACAATGCACGAAGTGCGAGAAGGTATTATCATATTATTTTTTAAGCCTATCTTTTACTTGTCTAATTTGTTGACATTTTGATAATGCACTTCACCTAATCACAATTTAAATCCTTTGTTATTGAATATATATTGTCCCATATTTTCTAATATAAATTCTCCTACTGGCTAAAAAAGGATCATAAAATAAGAAAAAAAAATAACTATTCCGATTGTCATGCGAAAATTTTATACGATCTGCAGCTTCTAAACAAATTTTTATCACCAGTTTAAGTATTATAACGTGCTATTATAGTTAAAAGATATTCTCATAAATATAAAAGATAATTTTAATAATAAAAAGGTATTTTATTATTGATATTTAAAAGACACATCGTTATGTTGATAAATACAGCAGGTTTGAAAGCAGTATACAGCTCATAACTTTTAAAGATGGAAATAATTAAATAACAAAAAATAGTGCGCGCTGAAAGCTTTTTCTTTTAAAGATGGAAATAAATAAATAATAATAATTCTGACATTTTCATGTGGAATAAACTTCAGTTACTTTACAGCTCATGACTTCTTTTCTTTTCGCATATTTTCCTTACAACTAAAATGCAGGAGGCTGTTAAAGTCTATCTCGAGAACTTGAAGACGTATCCTTTTGTCAAAGAAGGCTTGGAGAAGAACACTCTCTCTTTATTTGGAGGGTACTATGACTTTGTTAATGGCAGTTTTGAGACTTGGGATGCCTAAAACCATTGCTTGGTGCTTCCTCACCACCCCCTCCCTACATCTTCAAGTGTTATATTATCTTTATTATTTGTGTGCATTTTAATAAATTTCTTCTCTTGTGCATTTGAATTATGTAATGACCCTTAATTTCCTCTCTAAAATATATATATTCTCATCCTTTAGTGGTGGTATTGTACAGAACACTATTTCCATGTATAATGCAGATTGCTTTACTTTTCTTTCTACAAGGATGTGCATTTGATTTACATTCAAGTGGCTGTATAATAATGACTATAACAAAAGACTACATCCTATTTAATCATTTATATGAAAGAATCGGTCAATGCTCAGATCTTGAAGCATATTAATTGAAAACGAAAGAACCAATCCCAATAATCGAGTTAGAGGGCTTACTCTACTCAAGAAGAAAAAAATGTAATTGAGAAAAAACCGAGCATGTGGACTCACGTGTGCGACCATAAGGCGTTACCCTACTTTGCAATAGAGGTCGTGTTACTAGGGTTTATTGGCTCCTTTCTTTGAAAAAATATTACATGCGGAGTTAAGATATAAAGTTACATCCATACTCGAATCGAAAAGTGACACATGTTTATTGTATAGAAGAACATTTTATTGTATAAAAAGTAGAGGAAATTGACCAAACCCAATTCGATATAGTGTAAAAGTATGTTAAATATGTCAAAATCTTTTCTATCTCTTTGAGATCCATATTTCATTTTTAAGGTTTAGGGTTAATAGTTCTTCTCATCGCTAACATTTAGTTTAGGGTTGCAAACTATTGGGCATTTCAAAATCTTCATTACGCGTTTCAAAAACTTAATGCATTACAGTTTTTTTTTTTTTATGTTTTAAGACGCTTACTTTGCATTCTTCAACTGATTTAAAGTTTAGGGTTACATATTGGCATCGTCAGAAAAAAATAATTTAGGATTAGAAATCAATTTTAGTACAGCCAAAAAAGACATATCTTCTCCTTATTAAGTAAATTAGACCATCTCTATATAACACTCTAGTATGTACCCTATATGCATTTTATTTTGATAACCAATTTATTTTTTGTTATATGTTTAAAGTAGTTTGGATTATTTTTTTGGTACAACATGAAATACTAAAGTTTTTCTTAAGTACAACATGATATTTTAACGTAGGGTAGAGTATTTTAAATTTTTTCTTCAATACAATTTGGTTGTAATAATCTATTTTTTCAGTACAATCATATTTTACTTCATATTTTGACATGACATTAGTTATTGGATGCTTATTGATTCAATACAACTTAATTGCGTTACTTAAGTTTTTATTTATTACACTACAAAAAGTTAGGCTTTTTTTGACGGTCACAGTCCCTCATTTATGATAAGAAAATCGTCGCTTTTAATATTACCGACGGTTTTTTGAAGGTTTTAAGCCCGTAGGTAAAGCACTTGTCGGTAATTTCAAAGCTGGCTGATATTATGATGGTATAAATATACTTACGGTTATCCAACACTTAATATTATAGTTTTTCTTTGAGAAAATTCAAGTCGTTGATAATTCTCTATTCGTATAACTGACAGCTCGTCAGTCGCTAATAGTGATAGCATAGATGTCGGAAAAGTGTCACACTCATCGGTTTTTTGAAGTAGGTAAAATCATCGGTTATGTATCGTTTATGAGTCGTTTTCATAACTGACGGGTTAACTGTCAGAAAAGTGTCGCACCCGTCGGTTTTTTGACGCAACTTATTTTGTCAGTTATGTGTCGGTTAGACATTTATAAAAATATCCATTGGTTAGCAATCGGTTTTGCCTGCGGATAAGTTTGGAACAGTCATAAAATCAACGGTAAGTCGCCAGAAACCTATAGTATAAGGAAAAAAATAAATTACTTCTTTCGTATTTATGTTACCACACCTGTTATCACAACATGTAATATAAAATTTCAAACATTGAATGAAATAACATAGTTGTTAAACAGTAAATTATTTAATCAAATAATGAAATAAATAAAATAAATTATGCTAAAATATGAACATCACTATTTAAAGAAAAAAATATATGTCCAAATATATACATAAACATAAAAAAAGAAAAATGCCCCTCTTATCTATTTTCTCTATCTCGTTAATCTCATCCTCGTCATCCTCCACCACTTTCTCCTCCAATGCTGTCACAGTCTTGCCACCCTCCCTCATCCGCTATCAGAAGGAATCCAACTCAGCATTCAGCTTGGCCTCATGTTGGCCTCTAGCTTCGAACCCATATGAAAGAAGCGAGCCTCCATCTCGGCAGAGAATTCCACAACGCGCCTGAAGATCTTCTCAATATGTGTGGTACCTGTAGAGCTGCAAATATACTAGTGGTGGGGTGAGCGTTCTAGGTAAACCACCCCTGCGACCCGATCCCGTAGACTCGACCTTTCTTCTTCCTTCTAGCAAACTCCCTCCACAGGTCATACTCAGAAGGATCACACTCATAGATCATAATACATCCTGACACCTGGGATCAACTCTCCTTCAGTTGCTGGAATCTCTCATGCAAACAAAAGTAGTTACATTCAATTAGAGCTAACATATATTAACATCAAACTAGTTTAGCTCGGGAATTACTATCGTCAAACTAGGACTAGTCGGACTGCCTCTTATGGGTGCGCTCATGTACATCGACGGTGGAGGGCTTTTTTCCAATCTCCACAGTCTGTCCATAAAATAAAATAGTTTGAATACATCTTCAAACTATAGAAAATCTTATAGAATAAATGAAATATTACTAGCCTCTGCTTGTATTTCGTATAGAATAAATGAAATCTTATAGAATACATCTTCGAACTATAAAAAATCTTATGTCAGTGTGTGCTTGGATGGCCCCATGCCTCCACAGTCCGATAGCTTGTTTTGCTTTCCCGGCTCCCTCTTCTTATAGCAGTCTGGAGAATCTTAGATACTAAGCAACATGACAAGAAATCATTTATGAGCCACAGAAGATGTTGTCGCGATTTCCGGATATCTCCAAACATGTTTCGGAGGCGATTGATTCCCTTGCGCTCTAGATGTGCGCCTCATGCTCAAGGCGCTAGTAGAACTGTTTTTGTAAATATTACAACGATTGTTTAGATTGATAAATAAATTAAAAAAACTTAAGTTTTTAGTGAATGACACTTACCGCAAACTTATGAAGCCAAAGATTTCAAATGACCATTGGGATCTCCTTCCACAACAAGTATATTGAGTCGTATTGCTCTGAATGATATCCCAAAATAACATGAATAGTTTGGGACAGAGGGTAGAACCTTAAAACAATAATTTGTTAATTTTATATTTAATTGAAAAATAAAAATTTTACTGACAATATCTTAAAAAAACTTATGTGTTGTTGACAACATAGATACGGTAGCTATTACCTGTCAAGTCTAGTAATTTGGATAAAATCATTGATAGTATAGATCATATTTCTCTTTGTCAGGCATTAGGTGTGCTCTATTTCTATGTTTTGAACGTGGACACCAAAACCTACCCTTAGATAGTAAACCAACAGTTGAGAAGCAGCTGCCACAAATTCCTCGATACCATTCAAGAACTCTTAGATGATCCCTTTTCTATCTGGATAAAGTTTATTGTGCATCCACGATCTCGATATACGAATATCCATGTGTACCTTCAAACGCAAGAATAATAAACACATTATAAAATACATTCAGTTGAATACATTATATTTAATTATTTTGGTATATCTACTGGTCGATTGGTAACAAAAGCTGATGAAACCTGATAATAATCAATGAATTTTAAAAGGAGCGAACATTTTAGATAGCTTTGAAGTCAGAACGTTAACAGCTTTCTGAGGTAGTTAAGCCTATCGAAGATTGACTATTGACAAACATTTTATTCATATGTCCCTCGAATCTTGGTTGTCACTGTAGCTACAACAACTCTTTCATGAGTATAATTTTTTGACAGTTTCTCTATAAATGTAAATCCACTTATCCAACTAAATATTCTCATCTCAATAACTCTGTCGGCACATGGGGAGTTGCCCGTACGAAGCTGCCGATCACCGGAATTGAAATCCCGTCACTCGCTTCAGAAGCACGTTTAAGTTTAAAACAGTATGAAATCAAGCTACCCCATATTTTTCATATTTTAAATGAAAGAGCACTTTACCTCAAACCTTGTATCTATCCTGAAGGATAAACACAAGACTTGAGGATAAGACTTGATCATATAAACTAAAAAAAAGTATGACACCCGTCTGGTTTGCGAAACCTTTATATTTGCCGACAAGTTTTCCTATTTAATATAAAGAATTAAATAGGGTTTATATTAAGCTGGGTTCGGACATGCTTCCTATAAGGGCAAACCCCTATAATTTAGTTACATCTTAAATGACCAAAGTCACCTAAGAAGACTCTCGATAAAAATCAAGAAATATTATCTTCAAGAAATTTCAAAGGGTAGGACTCTTCAATAAGATCAGACGTAGAGGTGTGAAAGGGGATTGATTCAAATTTAAAACATTTTATTGTAGAATCCAAAGGAGGAACAACTAGGGAATGTCATGGATCCAAGGGAGAACCTCGGTGACTTCCCAAGCTATCCTAATGTCTGGCTTCAGTTTTAAGGAGAAAAATTTAAATGTTTCATCCTGCCAATTTTATTAGTTAGGGCTTACATTCGTGTGAAATGATCACACAAATAGGCTGGAAGATGTGAGGATGTAGGTCGTGACAAACGACAACCTCAGAATCCCAAGACGACTTAGGGCTTATATTGTATAACAGGGCAATACAAAGGCCTAAAGATAAGGTGAGGATTTACGTTGCATAAGCAAGCAACCTCGAAGTCCTATGGCTTTGTTGTTTAATTTTAAGGAAAAC